GAGCGCTGCCAGGTGGGGTCCCAACTCCCCCCTTCCAGCCCCCTCCCCAAGAATGTGGCTCCAAGGCTGAAGAGACAGCCCGAAGGGCGAGAGCACTTGCTTTGTGTTCTGGAGCCTCAGATTCATCCCTGGCACCACATGGTCCTCTTAGCACCGAGAGTGGCCCCAACAGGAGAAAAAAATAAATAACGAGGCTCAGGAAGTAACTCAGTGGTAGAGCACGTGCTTGGCTTGTGTGAGGCCTTGGGTTTGGGCCATGGCTACAAAACAAAGCAAAACAGAATAAAGAATGGGTGGATTTTAGAGATAGCGACCAAGAGATACAGCCAGAGACTGAGCTCCAGTACAAGGTGTTCAGAACCGATGTGCACCCTGCCTTGTTCGACAGAGCCGTGCTGCCAAGTGCTCACCCCGTGCGAGAGAGGCCGGGGGACTTCACTGGGCCTATCAGCCTCCCCCTCCCCAGCACTACCTGCTGCTACTGGCTGGACAGCCACTTGCTGGTGTTGGGCAGAATTCTGTGCCCAGGCCCAACGACTGACACACTGCCTGGGCCCCATCTGGCAGCCGAGGCTACGGCCACCCAAACCCATGCTCCCTAGCTGGTCAGGCTTCCGGTCCCCTCTGTCCACTGTCCACGCCACCTGCTTTGCTCTCTACCCTCACCCGTCCTGGGGGTGGCCCTTCCTTGCACAGGTACCCTGCGGGGGAGTTACACCCCGCAGGAAGAGGTCTATGAAGGCCGGCGCTTGCTCCTGCCTCAGCAGGCGTATGTCTTAACTCAGTTGCACCAATGTGGGGCACGAGCAGGATGCAGACTGAGGGGGTCAGAAAAGGCAGCGACGACCCCCAGCTCCCACACAGGCGTGGGAGCTCGGCAGGGCGGCAGCCCGGGAAGACAAAGCCTGGCCCGGCCTGGGGGAGGGGTGGGAAGAAGCAAGTCCCCCACCCTGCTGCCCCGCCCCCCATTCAAGTGCTAATGAGCTCCAGCCCCTTTGAGGGCTGGGAAGAGCCAGGAGGGCGGAGGCTGATGGGCAACCAGCCCACCGGTGCCCAGGGTCTGCCACAGTCCCACCCGAGACCCCCCAGAGGTTGGGCTGTTAGCCCCCAGGACAGTCAGTCGCTCCAGCTGGCACTGGGACCTCCCACCATCCTTTGAGCAGCTGGGGGCAAGGGAGAGATTCCCCAGTGCCCGGGCACAGGGGCCAGGCTGTCTTTCTCAAGCCTCTGCTGGGGTGTCCCAGTCTCACACCTGTGGCTGCCGACAGCGGCAGCGGGCCCCAGTCAGGAAGTTCTGGGTGGAGTGGGGCTTTGAAGCCAGGCCTGTGGGATCCCTTCTCCCCGCTACCAGGAAACACCCCCCAAGAGCCTTCCGACCCCAGTGCCCTTGCTGGGTTAGTCTCCAGTCCCCAGGGCCTGTGAATTTTTCAAAGCCATCAAGAGGAACATTTCCCGCCCCCCTCCCCTTTCTCAGGCACCACTACTCCCCACATTCCCCAGCCAGGGTCCCAGGCCAGCCCTTCCCATTCCCTCCAGCTGGACTAGGGCCCAAGCAGGCGTCCCAGAACAGCTTATTCCTGTTTTTTTGGTGGTTCCCAATTGTTTCATTCCTTCCATACCGTACACACTTAATAGGCACCTACGGTATCCCAGGGCCTTTGCTAGAGACAAAGTTAGACAAAGACCACAAACTCGTTCCTTCTCTTTGGGCAAACCAAAATTGAACCCTCACATGTCCACTCGCTACTGGCCAGGCCAGGAATGCCTGCAGCACTGTTCTGGGCTGAGGTCCGTGGCTGTGGGGCAGCCTAACCACTTGGGCAGGACAGGCCTTGGTGGAGCTGTAGAGGCCTCAGGCTGGACCTGTGGCTGGCCCCAGACAGCCTGCACTGCAGGGAAGAAAGCAAAGCGTCTGCTGCATTTCAACAGAGGCCCAGCTGGCCGGCTGTGGAGATGGGAAACAGGCTGCAGACCCTCAGAAGATCCTTACGAAACGGGCCAAGATGTCAGTGCTCCGCGATGAGACCAGGAGGAAACGGCCTGAAGAACTTCTCCCAGTATCTGCCCAAACCCTGAACTGGACAGAGCCTGACCACCTCCACCGTCAGCCAGGCTGTATGCAGCGTTCGTGCCGACCACCTTATTCGACCATCCACCCACTGCCAGGACCCAAGTTCACAGGAGGTGCTGTTCACTTGACACACGGTTGGACCCATTAGGTGCCAGCACAGGAAGCTCAGAAATGAACTGGGCACAGCACAGCCCTTGTCAGCAGCCAGTCTCTGAGGCCCGGGGAAACGCATCTCTGGAAGTGGTGTCGGAAGGCAGAAGAGGGGCTTCACCAGCCTAGTGGGGGTGGGAGGGTTGTGTCAAGGAAGGTTCCTGGGTGGTGACCCCTGAGCAGAGTCTTGAACCTGATGATTATCAGGCAGGAGTGAGTGAGATGGAAGCAGGAAGAGCACACGCTGAGGGAACAGCAACTGCAAAGTCCTGTGGGCAAGAGCGCCGGAGAGTGTGCACAGAGCTGCGGAGGGGTGGAAGCCGCCTCTCCTTCCTTTGCAGGATGCCCACAGAAGCACATCCCAAATTCAAGATACCCCAGCTCACATGAGGGCTTCCATTCTCCTTAAGTACCCAGCCCATGACCCTGGGGATGACTGGTGTGTCCACTGAACTGGGTCGGGGCGCCGAGTATCCCGTAGTCCCCCTGGTACTAGCCACTCTGTTCCCGCCCCCAAATCATGGGGAAAACCTCCCTCACTCCCATGGGTGACATCTGCCTCTGCCCCAGTGACAGTGACTGTCCCTGCCCGCCGCCGCTGGCTGGCTGGTTGGCAACGGAAGCAGGGAAGGAGCCAGTATGCGGGCGGGGCAGCAGGCGTGGTTCTGGCTGAGAGCAAAGGCTGGCACCTGCCCAGCCTGAGTCCCGCTGCCTGGAAAGAGTCCTATCCGCTACGTGGGACAGGCGCCCGGCAGGTGAACCTGCTCTGGCCTCCCATCACTTCCTAAGACCTGGCTATGGAGAGACCTACCCGTGGAGCTTACCGACCCCCCACCCCCACTTCCTGCAGGAGACTCCCAGGCACTCTCTGGCCCCAACCCAGGAAGCCCATTTTACAGAGGACACCAAGCCAGGGGGACAAGATGCTGAGAAGGTCTCGTGGGCCGAGAGGGACCTGCCAGCCAGGCATGGGAGGGGGTTGCCAAAGTCCCGAAGCTGAGCCAGACTCCAGTGGGTAGGCCTGGAGGGCTGGGGTGGGGATCCAGAACAGGTCGGGGGCCCTGTTGACCCTAGGTGCCCCAGCTCAGCCCCCGTCCTGTCATCCTCATGGCTACCACAATAACTGCACTCAAGTCTGGGGAGGAGCTGGCTGGAGACCCCAGGCCGAGCACTGGGAGGTGGCCGAGCGGAAGCACCCTCCCCAGGCCCAGCGGGTGGCAGCCACGGGCATTTCACTGCGGCGACACCCACTCACAGCCGCTGCCGCACTCGCAGCTGAGACAGGAAGAGGCAAGCGCCCAACGCAAAACAGCCCAGGAGGCTGGGCCGCCGCCCCTTCCCGCCCCTTCTCTTCCTCCCGCAGCGGCAGAGGAGCGGATGCCATTTTGAAACCTCCGGGGCTGTGTCCCTGAGGCCAGGCCCCGGGGTGGGGTGGGGGGGCAGTCAACAGATGGGCCTGGGAGGGAAGGTAAAACTGGTCCCGGGCTCTGGGCCCAGCAGGAAAAGCCCCACTTTCCCAGTCTGTGGACCCCATAGCAGCTGTGGGGCTGAGGGACCACACCCCCCACATACACTGTCCAGCCTCCAACGCTGCTGCGAGGTCCTCCCTCCCCCCCCCAACTCTAAAACCCCCTCAAATCAGGCAGCCACCCTGCACCACACCTGCTCCCAGTTGGAGGCAGCGGAGACCCACAGTCTTTGTAAAAGTCCACCTCTGTTGCCCACCCCCAACTCTCCCCCCCAGCTGGTCCATCACATCCCCTGCCAGGACTGTAAGATCCCATCCGACCAGCTCTCAAGCCGACTCACTCCCCCTAGGCCTCTGGGTCCAGAAGGGGTGCGGGAAGCCCAGCCCCCGTCAGCAGATTTCCTTGGCCTGCCCGCCGGGCAGCAATATGTCGGCTTACCACTTCCACTTCCCCCCACCCTGGAGCAGCCACCATCTTCCCCGGCCTTGGAGGCGCTACAACCCCAACTCCTCCACACTCCCTCCTGCTCCCCAGATGTCCCTCCCTTTGGTCTGGACCTGACTGGGAAACTGGGAGGCGTTCAGCCAGCAGAACCTCCCTGGGCAGCTTGGAGACCCTGCCCCCTCCCCCGGCACCACCAGTGGCATCTCAGCGCAACCCCTGGCTCCCTCCTCGCAGCCCAGCCATCCAGTGCGGCACAGAAGGGGGTGGGGGAGGCTGGAAAGGCAGAGTGCGGGAGGGGGCTCAGGGGTCTGCAGAGCGAGGCCTGCAGAGAGGCGCCTAAGTGGGCTAGAAGCAAAGGCCCGAAGGTTCCAGCTGGAGGGTGGAGGAGGTTTCCCACCAAGAAGTCCCTGGGGTCAGGGTGCACAGGTGTGGGATATAAGGTCTAGTTAGGGATGGGGCACAGAAGAGAGAAGAGGGAATGGGTGGGGGCGAGGCGGATCGTCCTGCCCAATAGGAATGGAGGAAACAGGTGGTGGCTGACGTTGGAGGGTGAGTGGGGCTGGGGGAGGGGGGGAATAGGGAATGATGGAAGAACCAGGTAGGAGCTCTTGGGCCTGTGAGGTTGATCTGCAGGTCAGATGCCGTTGGGCCGAGGAGACTGGGCTTAGCTAGGTCTGGGATATGTTGGGGTGTGTGCGTGGGGGGGGGGTCTCAGAGACCTAAGCCAAACCCAGAGTTTCCAACCATTATTTAGGTTCCCGGCCAGGCTAGAAGTGATGGTCCAGAGGGAGTTTGGCAGTTCGAAACCCTTGTCTGAGGGTGCGGGCCAGGGGCTTGGGAGACCCCGGCGCAGGGCGCGGCCTCACCCAACAGCAGCAACTTCACCTCCCGCGCCGCCTTCTCGCCGTCTTCCCGCAGGTTCTTGTCGATCATCTTGGAGCGCTCGGCCGCCGCCTTGTCCTCGGCGCTCACGGTGCAGCCCATCCCGCCGTCCGCCGGCCCGGACACGGCCCCCGGCCCGGCTCGGCCCCGCCCGACCCACTCCGCTCCCGCCGCCTACCCTCCACGAGCAGCTCTCGGATCGGCAGTTCCAAGCGTCTACCGGGCGGCGCCTTGTAGGCAGCCGCGCACCGAGGGCTGGGCGGGCCCGGGGGTGGGGCCGGAGCGGAACAAGCCCGGGACTGGGCAGGGGCGGGGCGGGGGCGGGGCCTGAGCAATCCCGGTACCGTGATTGGCTGGGAGGCGGAGTGAGGGCGCAGTCAGGCACCGCCCAACTCGGCCGGGCTGGAGGCGGAGCCAGGCGGAGGGCCGGGGCTCGGGGGCGGGTCTCCGTCGGAGCCCGGCTCTGATTGGATGCGAAGAGCCCGGGGCTCCGCGGCCCGGCGGGATCTCGTAGTCCGAGGGTGGGGATGGGGGCATCTCGCGGTCTGAGCAGGAACAAACCCTCTCAGCTTGGGCTGCCCGCGAGTCGGGCGAGCTGGGTGAAGGAGGCGTGTCTTCCTCTCCTAACTAAAGTTAATGAACCCAATAAACTTGTTTCGGGATCTGTGGAGCCCTGGGTCCTATTTCTCCGTCCGGAGACGGCGTAGCCTCCTTCTCTGTAATGATACGACAAACAGATCACCTTTGCCCCAGGGTTGTCTCCCTCAGCTGGGGTGGCTTGTCTAATCATTCAAGGCATATCCATCTTACTCGGGGATATCTTCCTGCAAGTAGCTATCCCGGACTTCAGCCTGGACCTGAGAAGCCAGCACGAAACATAAATGGCTACAATCTTACCTCCTGTCCCCACTGGACAACGGATGCAATCCCATGACTGGGTCAAGGGTGGGTGGAGACAGCAGAGTTTCTCTAGAAAATTATTTCACTACTATCCTTTTCTCCAGTAAGAGTCTCAACCTCAGTGGACATTTAAAGACTTTCCCCAGAGTGACCCAGGAAGGTAGTCTGCGAAACCCCAAAACCAGAAGCCCAGGAGGTCTAACCCAAAGACAAGGAAGGTCCACAAAGCCAGAAAGGTTGGCTACCAATGCCTTGTCGCCAATGCTTGTCTCTCCCCATTGCCTCGTCTGTCCACACTCCCTCCTTACTGCATATCTAGTTTCAGCTCCTCAGGCTCACAGTTCTCCCTGCAGTGTGAGTATAGCCCTATCTGAATGTTTCCCATATAGGGGAGCCATTGACCTGCAAGTCCTACAAAGGTTCCTCCTGTCTGGAGCCAACGCTTAGTCAGGCTCCATGCACGCAGCAAAAATATGGTGAAATCACACAGAACCCACCCAGGGTCAGACGCTCACACATGCAATCCACTCACAGACCCGCCGCCTCCGCTAATCTACAGAACATATTGTAAAAAGGGCAGACCAATCCAAGCAGCGACAGCAAACCCGAGGCGGGCCCCTTCCCTCGGCAGCCCCGCCAGCCCCGCCCCCAGCCTGAGAGCCCATCCTCCCTCCACGGGCCTCCCCAGCCTGCTCCTAGCAACAGCCAACAGCTCTTGCAGTTGCCGGGCAACAGGGAGAACCTGTCAGCCCCTCGGAGGCCAGCTCGCCAGAGGTGGGCACAATGCATATCTCAGTCCATGGAGGCAGGGCATGGTGGGGCCACTGAGACTCTCAGTCGGGCCAAGTCCTGTGATTCTCTCCACCTGTTAACCACACCCTCTCAGTTCCGTGTTTTTGTTTTTGGGTTTTTTTTTTTACTTTTCTTTTCTTTTTAGCTTTTTGGGGCACACCTGGCTATGCTCAGGGTTTACTCCTGGCTCTGCACTCAGGAATTACTCAGGTGCTCAGGCCATTTGACATGCCCAGGATCGAATCCAGGCTGGCTGCCTGTAGGGCAAATGCCCTACTCCCTGTATTAGACCCAGTTTTGTGGGTTTTTTTTCTGCAGAGTCCAGCAACCTCTTTTTCCACCTGTCCTGGCTGCTCCCTCTCCATGTCCCTCTGTCTCCATGGGGGTCCGCAGGGTTATGTCAAGGCATCAGTTTGCTACCCCAGTCACATACCTTCCCACCACAAGGGCTGAAAGCTGAATGGTTATTACCCACTATGTCTGCCCCAGTTGCCAGCCCATGTCCACCATTTCCCTGAAGTCTCCCCTGGATGCTTGGTGCATCCCCAGTGGCCTGCTGCCCTAGAATTCTTCCTGGTCATCCTTTCCCTGTCAAATGGTAATCCTCTGGGGCCAGAGAGATAGTATACCAGGCAGAGTGCTTGCCTTGCGTGTGTCTAGCCTTGGTTTTATCCCTGTCACCATATATGGTTCCCTGAGCACCGCCAGGAGTGATCCCTGAGTATAGAGTCAGGAGTAAGCCCTGAGCACAACCAAGTATGCCCCTCCCAAAATATATATGTATAATTTTGTTTAACTATCCACATAATAAAAATAAAATATGGGGGGATAAGGGGGTGGGAGGGATACTGGGACCCATGGTGGTGGAAAATGGGCACTGGTGGAGGGATGGGTACTGGATCATTGTATAACTGAAACCCAAGCACAAAAATTTGTAAATCTACAACTGTACCTCATGGTGTTTCACTAATAAAAATTAAAAAAAAATGTAAATGATGGAGAATGGGCACTGGTGGAGGGATGGGTACTGGATCATTGTATAACTGAAACCCAAGCACAAAAATTTGTAAGTCTACAACTGTACCTCATAGTGTTTCACTAATAAAAATTTAAAAATATAAATAAAATAAAATAAAATAAATCTTGGGGCCGGAGTAGCAGTACAGTAGGGAGGGCATTTGCCTTGCATGCAGCTGACCCAGGTTCAATCCTGGATATCCCAAGCACTGCCAGGAGTAATTTCTGAGTACAGAGCCAGGAGTAGCCCCTGAGCATCCCTGGGTGTGACCTAAAAAGCGAAATAAAACAAAATAAATCTTGTACATGGTAGCCAAGGAAGTCCTACTAAAAGATATCACATCACTCATGGGTATTGGGGATGAGGTCTCTCCAGCCCTGGCACCACATGGTCCTTGAAGCACTTCCAGGTGTGGCCCTGGTGCTCTTTTAGTACTGGTGGGCAGGGACTGGAGCCAGAGCCTGCTGAGTACCTCAAGGCGTCATCAGCCCAAGTACCCATGGGAGTAGCCTCCATGAAAAAAATAATAAGATAGAAGATATCACACTATTCTTGTGTTCACAAACCCTTTATGGCTCCCCAGTGCCCTGAGGATAAAGCCCACACACACTGCTTTGAACTGTGCTGGAGGCAGAGGTATTAGTAGTGGTTGACAGCAAGGAGGACTCTGGGGAGCAATTTGCAAACCAGTTTTCTGCATATTACTTTGGATAAGAACCAGAAACTCCCTGTGCTTCCATTTTCTTTTCTTTTTTATTTTTGGGCCATACTTTGGCCCAGAGAGGCTACTCAAGGCTGAGTGCTCAGGAGACCATGTGATGCTGGGGACTGAATCCAGGCCTCCTACTTGCAAACTACATGCTCAGCCCATTAAGCACACAGTTTGTGTCTCATCGTTTTATTTATCTGCCCAGCCCCCTATGCCTCAGTCATTTTCCTTTTATTTTGTGGGTGGGGAGTGGAAAGACTTCCCAAACAAAGTTCAGGAATCCCAGGGGCCCCATCAGCAATACTTGGTCAACCAGATTGCTGTTCCAAAGGTTCAAGGAGTGAGGATGTGGTGGAGGGAGTGAGGATGTGATGCTGGGAGATTCCAGGGCTGCATCCAGAGATGCTCAGGGGATCAGACCATGTGGTACTGGGAATCAAACCTGGGTGGGGTACGTGCTAGGCATGCATCCCAGTAGCTACTGGCCCTCATCCCATCCTCAGGTTTCTTTTCAGTACAATAGGCCCAAGAGTAATACAGCCCCAGCACACTGGCTGAGGTCAGGGCTAAGGGAGCAAGCAGGTAAGATGCTCAGAACATTCATGTTCTTGGAATCCCTCAATAGACATTAGTTGTTATAACACTTGTTTCTGTAGGGCCCAGAAGCACTGACCCCATCTCATCTCTCATCACTCACTACACACCAGCACTGAAGCCATCTGATCAGTTTTGTTCTCCCACCCCCCAGCATCTCCCTAACCCCTGCCCTCCGCTGTCTCCTCCCTTCCCCCTCCCTTCATTCCCTGATAGATTACCCTCATTCTCCCCTGCCAGAGACCACTATGATAGTAGTAAGTCTATCTTATCTGGGGTTCTTTCCACACCCCTTGCAACACTGTCCTTGAGAGTGGCAGGTAAATCTTTGTCAAACTAGATGAATGGATAAATAAATCACGCAAACTCTACCTAGCCCATCCTTCCCTCATCCTGGAGCAGGCAGAGATGTAAACAACAAATCCAACAGGTACCCCAGAGATAGTTGCCACAGTCCTGTGTGTGGAAAGGGAAGAAACTCTTGGTGAGGGGCCTGGGGAGGAGGTCAGGGAGCCTCAGAGGAAGAAGGGGGGCCATGGGGAGCACTAAGGAACAAGAGCATCTAGGAAGAGTGATCAGGGAGAGGGTACAGCAAGTAGGCATGGGAAGGTGTTGGGACAGACCTGGGAGAAAATCAAGAGGCAGAGCTGAAAAACCCCCTTGTCTTGCAGCTCAGGTGAGGCAGGAGCTAGGACACACCCATGTTTGGTCACCTAGTGGGAGACATCACAGGCAGCCGGTACCCCTCCTCCTCTCCTCAGGCCCCAGGACCTCTCAGAAGAGATGTTCTGAGGGATGGGGTGGTACCGAGCTGGACCCCACAGGAGACACGACGTGTCCTGTGCACAGGTGCCAGTACCACCTGAACTAGGCCCTGGAAGACAGTGAAATGCCACCAGTAGAACTCAGGACCACACCCAACTCTAATAGAGAAGTGGTAGCCTCAGGGTCAGAGAGAGGCAGAGCCACCTGGGTGCTGGCTACAGGCCATACAGCAGCTCCCAGTTGCCTGAGTTCCCTCCTGCACCTTGCACTGGAATGAGCAGGGTGAGGAACTGGGGACCCTCTCAGAGAGGTGCTGCTTATGACACCCCCGCCCACGGGCTCCAGGAAGCGGAAGCTGCCAGTACTTCCCTAAAGACAGTTTCAGGGTTGATATGTCTGGTCCTGCCCAGAGTCCAGGAACAGGCAGTGCCCTTCAGAGATACCCAGATGCCAAGGTCC